GGTTGTTCCTATACAACACAGATTTGCTATAGGACATTGTTAAAATTATGTATCCTGTGCATGTCAATGTCTCACAGTTTTGAGTTGCTATAATTAATGTTGAGTAATGGAGTGCCTGACACAAAGAAAATATGTCCATTGACCAGAAAAAGAAATAAAGTAATAATTCTATTCCCCAAAAACCTGTTGAGTGCCTCCAAAGTGCTATATTTACACTTTGGGTGATTACAACTCCTTGAAATAGTTTGTGCACAAGTAGATAAGGAGCTAACCTCTCAGGTGGGAGTAATAAAGATGTAATCTTAATTACCTACAAATTCATACGTAACTACTTTTAAATGACTCCATAAATGACCTCACTGCTCAGTTCTCAGGCCTAATATATGCTCTGTTCAATTGCAATGGGATCAAAGTCAAATGCCTAAAGAGAAGCAGGCTCAGAGGGAGTGGTTGGGATCACACAAGTGCATTGTTACCAAGTTGTTACTTCATTCTAGTCAATAGCTACTGGGTGAGAATGTAAGTAATAGTTACTCTATCTTCTGGTTGTTTTTTTTTTAAGCTAGATAATTGTGTAAAATCTAGATAATTGTGTTGAAGCCACATAAAGTGGCTTTCCCAGTTTTTGTAAACTACTGTGTGTGTAGGGGGGAGGGGATTAATAACCACGAAAAGCCTTTATCTTCAGCAATCTTACCTAGTGACACATAACAAAGATGAGGAAATAGAACTGCATAATTATTTCTATGGGTAGCCTACTTTCTAAATTACTTGAGTCTAACTTTCCTCCTGAAGCTAGATTTCCTGCATTCAAGTGCTGGCTTGGTGGTCCAGTAGCTGCTAATCCCTGAGTAAGTGCTATAGGGGGAATGTTTGTGTGTCCACACCCCAAAATTCATGTGTTGAATCTAATTTCCAGTGTGATGTTACTTGGAGGTGGTGCTTTTGGGGGGGATTAGGTCATGAGGATGAAGCCCTGATGAATGAAATTAGTGTTCTTATAAGAGACCCCATAAAGATTCCTTGCCCCTTCTGTCATGTGAAGTTACAGTGAAGCTGGCTCTCATCAGACATGGAATCTGCTAGTGCTATGACCTTGGACTTCCCAGTCTCTAGAACTATGGGAATTAAATGTTTATTGTATATAAGCCACCCTGTCTGTGGTATTTTGTCAACAGCCCAAATGGGCTAAGACTGGAAATCACTTAACCTCTCTATATATGGCACACAAACTCTAAGATGATTGTCAACTACCCGTGTCTCCTTGTATGCAAATTTCTGTGTCTTTATCTCCTCTTAAATGCACACAGAAGCTTTGACTTGGTTCTAAACAATAGAACGTTGAACTGTCACTTCCCTGAAAGTTACAAAAGACTGGTTATTGTTTGCCAGCATCTTCTTCCCTTGCTGGCTTTGATGAATCAAGTCAGCGTATTGGGAAGCCCATGTGGCATGTAACTGAGGGTGTTCAGATGACTTTGGGGCAGGTTTTTTTTTTTTAATCTATCTGTTGTTTATCCCTGTGTGCCTAGATTCTAGAGGAGTATTGTATAGTTTATGTTACATAAACATTTGGTAAATGATATTTGTGTTACTCCAGTAATTATTACTTCATGCTTTTAGGTGGCTTTTAGGTCATGCTTTTAGGTGGCTTCATGCTTTTAGGTCAATTATTACTTCATGCTTTTAGGTGGCAACACACTTTTCACATACATTTTCTTGCCTGACCTTACACTTGGATAACAAAAGAAAGGAAATGCATAACACCATCAAGTTAGAACTTCACCTGCCCACAGTTCTCTTGGCACATTTCTGGGAGCAGTGGGAGAATGGTTTACCAGGGTCAGTGGATTATTTTCCACGCCAGTGAAATACCTGAGATCACAAGTAAGTTAATTTGTCTTGCTAAGACAATATTTTTGCATAAATAAATTAACCAGCATTACTTTCATTTCTCTCTAGTTGCACAAATGATTCAGGATCTGTTCAAAATATGGAAGATAGGGTTGATGAAAAGAGATGTATATAAGCAAATCGATAATTAAGAACTAATATTAAAGATCACTCAAGGGAAGGTAAATGTTGCACATAAGTACTGAAAGTAAAAATGCAAACTTAAATTTTCCATTAAAGTAATAATTAAATGTCTTGCAGAGCACGGATGAGAGAACGTAAAGTCTGGAAAGCAAGAGTGGGTCTTTCTAATTCTCTCCTTCAATATTCAGAGGTTTACAGGTCAACAGTGTTCTCCATTCCTAACAGCTTACAGAGCTGAAGCCTGTGTCTGCCAAGTGGCCTCCTGAGTCCTCTCTGAGCTGACTCTTCCTTAAGGAAAGCAAAACTCTAGGCGAGGTGTCTGTCTTCTCATTTTCTCCGTTGAGGTTGGAAAATCTAAGGTTTATGCAGCTGTGTGAAAGACACGTCCTATGAGTGGGACACAGCATTATCAAGGTATTCCTTTGATAATTATGAGGTCTTCTAGAATCATCTTTTAAAAGACAGATAATCCTGGAAATGGTGATACTTTATTTAGAGGACTTGGAAATGGTAGCAGAAGAAGATCTAGAGCATGGGAATAGAAGATCCTCAGGGTCCAAGGATGGGGACAGGATTGAAAGGGAAGGTAGTAGCAAATTTGGCTCTGGGAGTTTCCTTCCTTTCTGTCCCATCTATGGTCTCTGATGAGAAGCTAAGTCTTCAACCCAATGGTCCTGTCTTAGGTTTGGATCTGTTTCTTTTTTCCTATGAATTGCACATTAAGGTGTGTTGTAATGAAAAATGCTTAAGATAGAATTCTGACATCAACATCTTCAATTTGTCTTCATGTTCCTGGGCAAATTTTGTTCGTGTAGAAGTTTTATTGAGTTTCTGGAAGCAAAGGAAGAACCAAAGTTAATTTTCCTCGATATCCTTTTCACGGAAATGCTGGGGCAAACTTCATTGGCATTTTATGTTCCAAAAGACATTACGTCTTTTCGTATCATCCATATTTTGTAAGTAGAAAGGACAGTAAAATCAATTTCTGAGCCAGGATCCAAGTCTAAGGCCTGACTCCACACAGTGTGATTTAATTAACAATATATTGAATAGAAACACACTCATACAAAAACTAAATTAACCCTAAATTGACTTGCAGTTCACTTACCAGATGCTTAATTTATTTTCCAATCTGAAATGGAAAAATCTAAAGCAAGCCCACATAGGTCATTCATTAAAGCCTGTGTTGCCACAACCCAGAATGTCTTATCATCCTCATTGGGTGTTTAATCTGTCCCTAAATCTCTCCCAGAAATTCCAGAGTTGAACAAGCTGTCTGCACCCCAATCTCAGTTCAGCCACATGCCAGAATATCCTATGAAAAGAAACATTATGACCAACATGTGCTTCTATTTCTTTCGTTCTTTAGTGAGGTCACACAATAATGTTCTTTGGAGAACTAGAACTGATGATGTCTCAACACTCAAATAACTTTCCATTGCTTCCCACGTTTGGTTAAGAGTTTTTAATGTTTGTTCAAGATCAAAACCATTTGTGAAATAGGGTAAATTAGGCATCAAAAAGAAGGCAAATAATACTTTTCAGGGCTGGCCTTACTGTAAAGCACACTAAATAGGGTGGGGTTAAGAGGGCTCTACCATGGCATAAAATGAACAACAACATCAAAGCACTTTGAATGACTAAGATGTCTGAAAATATATGAATCTCAGGATCACAGGGTTGGTGGGGGTAGGTGGTAAATGAATTGACTGAGAGGGGAGCTGTTCAAGAAAGTTCTCTTTATTCCCTATGGGCTCTCACAGCACAAGCAACTGGGGAGATCCATGGTAACTTGTAGTTTCATCCACACTTTGCTTAAATAAAAGCAGGTGTCCTGAGTCAGAAGGGATGGGAATGATCGGCACAACAGGACAGGAGAAATCTTTCCTTTGATCCTCCGTTCTTGCTTCCATCCTTGAAGACCTGGTTTGGATATCATTGTTTGGCTTTATTACTTTCATTAGCAGAGACAAGTTCTTTCCCCCAAAGAGGGAGGTGAATCCATCTTGATAAACACAATTGAACTAAACTAATTTTAGATGAAGAGCCCTATACATTTATGTGACACATTTTAAATCATTCTAAATTGTTTTCGTAACTTCACTATCAATCTCATGAATTCCTCAAGCTGGATCCCTACTCAATATTTGGGGAAATAGCAAAATAGAGCATTTAAGTCTCTATAAGAGAGAGTGTTTAACTCCACCGCCTGTTCTCACAAAACACAACTGGAAGGCCAGGGATATCCTCATTTTAGATTTGCCCTCTTTTGTGAATAAGATGAGCAAATAGGTTGGACCCCAGCGATGTTTAAGCCTTCATTTTGTGATTGCAGATACTGGTGAAACCGGTACAGTTGGAATTCAGGCCTACCGTTAGGCAGGGATTCAGGCAACCCTACCTTTCTGATGCATCACGTTGCATTAAAAAGCACGACCCAAATGACACAGAAACATCAACTCCAAAGAGCACCCGCACCCCTATGTTTATAGCAGCACTGTTTACAATAGCTAAGCTTTGGAAACAACCCAAATGCCCAAAAATAGATGACTGGATCAAGAAGATGTGGTACATATACACCATGGAATATTACTCAGCATTCAAAAAAGATAAACACATGCAATTTGCAGCAACATGGATGGCTCTGGAAGGGATCATCATGCTCAGCGAAATAAGCCAGAAAGAAAAAGAAAAATATCGGATGGTCTCAATCATAGCAGGAATCTAGAAAACTTAAATAAGGGACCAGGAGAATGAATAACTATAAGAAAGTGAAAATCATAATCAACAAACAACTATGAACCAGAGACACTCTATGAGGGGTGGAGAGCTGGGGGGGAGGGATTGGGGTCAAAATAAGGGGGTTGCAATTGTATGGGGAATATAAAAATAAAATTAAAAGAAAAAAAGCACGACAGACTTCCGGTCCTGCACGAGCATGGTCCGGGTCAGCCCAGCACCAGATGGTCAACTTGAGGTTCAAACCTTTGGGATCTTGGACCGTAATAAAAAGTGCAATCACCACTTCAATGCCTGCTCCCACGTGTGCAGGGACATCAAGTCAACCCGCTCTCCAAGAAGCTGTGACAGAAGTACTGGTCCCCTACAAGCCCACCCACAAGGACCGTGAAGTCCACATGCTTCAACGCCATTACAAAGGTCAGCAAATGGTGCACAGAAAGAAATATGTCATCTACGTGGGGTGGGCGCAGGGTGGGCAGGCTGACCGTACATCTGTCCAAATGGGCATTCACCCCAGCAAGCTGGGTATCACCAGTCCAAAAACGGATGAAGATGGGGAAAAACTCCTGAATGCAAAGCCAAATCTCAACGAGTTGGAAAAAAGAAAGGCAAATATAAGGAAGAACTGACTGAGCAAGCGCAGAAATGAATATAACCTGTTGTGCCATCAGTTTCACTGTGGATCTAGCCTAGTGTGCATCCTTTGAAACTTTCAAAAATGTCTCTGAAATGTATCATTTCTTCCCTGTCTCATTGTTGATCGGTGCCTCTGTAAATCTGCTTTTGTTGTTTTGATTAATAACTTTAAGAATAAAAATTGGAACTGTAAAATAACAAAAACAAAAAGCGGCCACACGTGATACCTCCTTTCTTACCATTACAGTGCTTTCTTTCTGGAGTCCTCAGTTCACCACCAGCAATCCTGCCACAGGTGATCCCCTATGCCCTGTTTCTGCATCATTGCTACACTTTATATGTGGACTAATAAAAGATCAAGTTTCTTAGCTTGTCACTGAAATTTTACCTTCTTGGGGAAACAGTGAAATCATTTTAAACTTTGAGTCTCTATATGCATGGAGAGAAAAGAGGGCAGATAATTACGGAAGACTTTGGTGATGAAAGAACTAGAAATTAGGTCCTGCACTCATCCTATAGGCATCAGACACTGTAGGTCAAGGACAATGAGGTTCAGCAGACAGGAAGAGAGCCCCTGGTGATTGCAGAGGTAATCAATCCTATGAGAGAAAATAAACAAGATTTTCTTCCTATTTTTACAGCAGTGCTCAGATTGAAATGAATTAGAAAAATAGCTCAGTTTCTACTATTAGATTGCAAGGTGCCTCAAAGTGTTGTCTATATTAGAATAGTGTTTAACTGTAATTTGAGTGTTTTACTGTGACTAGAGAACTCTGGCTTTATTTGTCCCATTTGACCACAAATCTATTTATATAATAAAGCATGTCATAATATCATTCTACTATCAACCACATGGGAAAGAAATATTACTTACTATTTTTTAGTACAAGAAAAAAATCTTGGAGCTCATGTTTGGAAAGAAGGCAACGAAAGCTTCTCTAAAAATCCTGCATCTCTCACATTAGTCACAGTTGGTGTTGTGAACTGATATATTTCTGCACTTTGTCTAGATTAATACTAAATGTTTGATTGATATTAATATCAACTTTAGACGCAGAATGAGCTGCTGAAGGGGCAAAGACAGTGTCATTCAGAAGTGCTGGAGGCAGGGAGGGAAATGCAGGCAGTCGGAGCCAGCATCTGAAATACAACTGCTTTTAGAATGCATGGTCACGGGGAAGGGCAGGGCAGAGCCTTCTGTTCTGTAGACTCTGAGAGATTGCATTCTGTTTTGACCTCCCCTAATCCTCTGGCCTCTGGCTGCATGACCCATACTCCCATGCCAGCTTTTTCTGGCATGGTTATTGCTGGCTGCCTCCTGCTCGAGCCCAAGCCAGGCTGGCCCTTGTCCACCGATTTGGCCATGTCTCTGCCTGTGACCCTGGCTCTCTCCCTTAGTCTCTTGTTCCCCTTGACTCTCTCAGGAATAAAGAGCAGAGACATATTAAAAGCCTGAAGACCATATACACTGGAAGGATTTTTTTTATTATTATTAATAAAAGTGATGCATTTTAATAGGAACTTGTAACATAAAATTATTAAACATTCTCCAAATGGGATCCCATATATGTGTCTAATATTATTTCCCCTATGAATACATTTGCATTTTCAAGAGATTGAAGCTAGGTTACATAAAATAAAATCCAGCCTATAGGTGTAGTCAGGCCAAACAGAAGAAAGAGCTCTAAAACCACGAGTCAAGGAACATATCAAGCAACAAAATTTACAGAGTTTTACAAAATTACAGAAATCTGTGGTTTGAACTGAATGCCTTAACTTTTTTACATTAATGTAAGACTACATGGTGAATCTGCTCACGATGGCTAAGGAGCTCAGGACTTCATATTTTAATGTCAAGTTAGAACAGAGTAGAGGTATAGCAAGTATCTGGATGTGTGCACTGATAGCAAATATGAGGGATTTGCAATCATAAGATGTCAGCGGGTGTGCCCGAAACCACCTGGGCGTTTAAAAAGCAGTGCATACGTGAGCTTCTGTATTTGCCTTGGCTGCTCTGATAAAATTTACTTTTCTGCATGTCTTTTCATTTTTCCATACAATGAGGGAGTTCTACTAAAAAAAATCATTGTACATTGGAAAAAGTTCCACTATTTTAGATGCCTCAAATAAGTGGAATCACATAGTATTTGACCTTCTATAACTTCACTTCTGTACCATAATATCCTTCACTTTTGTTCTTTTGTTTACCATGATATCCTCAGGGTCATCCATGTTGTTGCAAATGACAGGATGTCCTCTTTTTTAAGACTGGATAATATTCCACTCTATGTATCTACATTTAGTTGTCAATAGATATTTAGTTGTCTCCATCTCTATAATGATGTCTTGGCTATCATGATGTCGTAATGAACACGGGAATGTAGATATGTCTTTAAGATTCTAATTTCAGTTCTTTGAGATATACCCAGAAATGGTTGTCAGGGGCTGAGGAGGAGAATTGGAGTGTTGCTATTCAACTGGTATAGTTTCTGTTTTATAAAATTAATAATTTCTAGAGATTAGCTATACAACATTATGCCTATAGTAACAGTTTTACATTGTGTATTTAGGATTTTGTTAAGAACAGTAGATCTCATATAAATGTTATTACATGCCAAAAAAAAAAAGGAACCTTGTATTTCATCTCTGCAAAGGTGTCAGTTCATGATTTTTAAGTCTTCTCAATGTGAAAGATCTTTGGATTGTCTTCAGATTTTTTTGAAATTATGATCAAAGCCTCTGTAAACATTCTTATGTAGGTTTTTGTGTAGGCATAAGTTTTTGAGTCATTCAGATAACTAAGAGTATGATTGCTGAGCTGTATGTTAAGTGTATGTTTAACTTTATAAGAAAATGCCCAAGGTAACTCTTCTCCATTCTCACCAGCAATACATGAGATTTTCAGTTGTGCTGCTGCCTTGCCAGTATTTTATATTGTCAGGTTTTGTTTATTTTTACCATAGTCATTCATATCTAGTAGACATGCAATAGTGTCTCATTGTGGTTTTAATTCACATTTGCCTAATGAGTAATGACGTTGAGCATCTTTTCATGTGCTTATTTGTCATCCATATCTCTTCCTGGTGAAGTATCTGTTCAATTAATGTGGCCATTTTTAAAAATTTATATTTTTGAATTGTTTTGTTTTCATAATATTGAGCTTTGACAATTCATTTTATACTTTGGATAAAATTTATTTATCATGTGTGTTTTATAAATATTTACTTCCAGTCTATGATTTGTCTTTCCAGTCCCTTAAAATGCCTCTTGCATAGAAAATTTTAAATTTTTTGACCAATAATTCCTCTTAATCTCTGGAATCTCCCTTTCTATTTTTGAATTCCTAAAAATTGTTTATTGAGTAAGCGAGGTTGTGCTTATGGCATTGCCTTTGGTTGATGTGCATTTAGTTCCTTTGCCTCACTCTCTCTTTCCCCATTCTAAAGTCTAACATGAAATCATGTCTGTCCTTTACCCAAGTTCAAGGTAGTGTGCACTTAGGTCAGATCAGTCAAGAATCTGTTACGGGCCTGCACACACTCATCAGTTCAAGGACGGGCAGGCAACTCAAGCCAGGTTACTGGATGTAATTCTAATTGCCAACAAGAGAATGCTCACCTTTACTAAGATCTACAGCCATAAGGATAGTGTAGTCTAGAGTGTCAGACTCTATCTTTGTCAGCACCTGGAAATAGTCTAAGAATGAGGACAAGATAAATGAAAGCCCAGCCAGAGATGGAGGAAGAACCTATGACTTTGCCTATATGCCTGCAGCTAGTCACAGCTAACTGCAATGGACTATCCAGTCACTTAGGATTTTCAGTTCCCTCCTTTTTTTGTTTGCTTAAAATGGCATAAACTGGATTTCTAGCCTAACTTTGAGAAAACACCAAGAGGTCCATTAATTTTTAATTTACATGCATAGTTATTCTAAAGCTAAATATGATTTCTATTTCTTTTTGTATATCTACCCCAAACCTTATTTAGATGGCAAGCTCACCAGTTTGCCAAAAGCATAACTGTAATATACTGGAATGATACTATGGGGTGCAGACCATTATAAAAAAAACTCAATAAATCTGAATATCTGGGTTTATTTTCATTTATGATTTTTTTTTTTTTTGTGGGACCCTCGTCGGTGGCCGGGGAATGAACCGGTGCTGCAGAGGCTACAAGCAGCCTCTTCGCAGCCCAGCGCTCAACCACTGCGCCACCAGGGGAGGCCCCTTCATTTGTGATTTTTAATAGTGTTTGTCCTTCCCAACTTCAAACCACAATTAAAGAATTGAGAAGACATAAAACCTTGGATTATACTAGATCAAAAATCAGGAAACCTGCTCTTGCCATATACAGACTTACAATGTCTCAGGCATTGTTTCGAAGGCCGAAGCAAGGACTGTGGACAAATGAACAGTAAATGCAAAGACACAGAGCCCCTGATAAGTGCATATTATGTAGAAGCCTCTGTCATCTGCATTTAAATTACCATAGGTCACACCTCTGACTAGTTCCTCATGTGGAGGGAGCAGCCAGTCACTTCACTGCCCAGCGGTTGTACCCACTTTGTACTTGAACGTGCCAAATTGTGACTGTACAGCTTGCACATAAGGGAAAATTTGGTTTGTCATTCTTACTCAGTTAACTTACCCATGAATGCTGTCATTATAACTTGAATTCTCTGGATCTAATACCTTTAAAAATAGAAGCAAGAATCTCAGGATTCTAATTCTGTAGAATGAGTCACTTTTTATTTTTGCCAGCGACCCCCCTAGGGAATCAGTCTAAGGTCTAAATCCTACAAGAGCCATGGATAAATTTCCTACTGGGTTATGCAGAAGGGCATGGAAATCTGTGGCTTAAGAACAACTTATGAGTTGCAGAATAAAAGGCAGAACACCTGCTGTCAACATTCTTCCCACAGCCACCTAACATTTCAGCATCAAGGGGACAGCCTCTTGAACAGAATACAGACTCAGTTTATAAAACAAAGATT